TCGCGATACGTTGCGACACGTCATGTGACGTTGCGAGTTTGACACCCCTGTTATAGATGGTCCTTGACTTACAACTACAATTGAGATTGGGATTGCCACTGAAAATCAGGCGCAGTCCTAAAGTGAGAGGTCACATGATTACAAAAGCAATCCCTGCTGTGGTCATTCATTGAGAATGGTAAGTCATTACACAAGTGCCCACTACAATCCAAACCATTCTGAGCTTGGCCCCCTTCAGTTTTGAGCCTCAGTAAGGTAAGGGACTGCCTCCAACTCCACCCACTCACCTATCTCTCTCCATCTCTGCCCTTTGGCCACTCTTCCCCCTGCCCGCAGGACAATCAAGCAGTCCCAGAATTCTGTGGCTCTGGGGCTGCTTGCCACGTGCCAGGAAGCCTCAGTTGCCCCACCCCCCACCCCAGCAAGTGCAAGCAAGCATTCATTCACATAGCCGCCTTCTCTCTCAGTTCCTTGCACCCTTTTGCCTTTTCTGTCCAGCCATGATGCTACCCGGAGCTCCAGTTTCTTTGGCAAACACTTCTTACACAGGTGTCCAGCCTGCCCCAGGAGCAGGGCACCTGTGAACCCCAGCAAACGCCAGCAAGCATTCATTCACACAGCTGACTTCTTCCCCAGGTTCCCCCACATTGACCTTTCACCTTCTGCTAAAGCAGAAGCAACTTGCTACCTTTGTTGTCTTTGGAACGCTACGCTGTCTTCATAAAGCTGTGCTGCCTTCCGAAAGCCACACCGTCTTTCCAAAGACCTTCAGGAAACAACACACCTTTACAAAGGCAGTGCTGTCTTCATAACGCCTTTGGAAAGACAGCGCCGCCTCAACAAAGACAATGCAGCTTTGGGAAGGCTGTGCTGACTTCAGAGAGCCTTTGAAAAGACAGTGCAGCTTTATGAAGGCAACACGGCTTTACAAAGGCTCAGGGGGTCACGTCCAAGGAAAATTCGGCAGAGAATCTGGATTCGAAAAGAAGGCAGCAAAGGTAGCAAGGCCAAAGGGGCTGGGAGCAAATGTTGAAAGGTCAGTGCAGGGAACTGGGAGAGAAGGCGGCTGGGCGAATGAATGCATGTTGGTGTTTGCTGGGGTAGCTGAGGCTTCCCAGGGCACGGCAAGCAAACTCGGAACCTGCTCGCCGTCGTGCAAGGCCAAAAAAGGCATCAGATGGGGGAAGACTGATGAACGGAGGGTGGTGAAGAGCTCTCTTGTAAGTGGCACGCACTGCCAAGCACCCAAATTTTGATCACGTAACCGCAGGGGTGCTGCTGCAACGCTTGTAACTTCAAGCATGGCTCATCAGTTGATTTTTTTTTTTCACCACCGTCGTAACCTTGAACAGTCACTGAACAAATAGTAAAGTTGAGGACAATCAGTATTTACAGATCAACCCACAAAATCTTTCCTAATTCTCATATTATTTATGATTAGAAGAATAACTTGTGTTCCTCTTGATTATGGCTGGGGTTATATACTCTCTAGCAGTAACTTAAAAACCACAGAGGTGCTTGGATTCAGTATGCAATTTTATTGACGAATTTCATTCTGCCAGTGAATGAATTCTTACCGCATTCTATCTTCTTTCCTCCCCCCCCCAGGCCCATTCCAAATGTACATGAATTTTTCTCTGGGGTCCTAGGACACCTTTTGGAGCACACTCAAGGCAGAAAAGTGCTGTTGTGCAACTGGAAATGTATTTAATGCCTGATGGTACCAGCAGCCTTTGTGAATTCTTGCTTATCCCACTGTTAAAACACATTTCCAGCACTGCATGGTTTCAATTTTGTTTGCCTATGAAAAATAAGAAGCAATTTCTAAATATGAATGTGAAAGCCAATAGTATGCAAAGGAGAAGTTTTAACTTCTGTTTGCCCCCTATTTCTCCTTATCCAGGCAGCCATGGATAAGAAACATGTAATTAAAAAAAGCAGAAAGTCTATTTAATTTAAGCACTGGCATTCTCTATTGGCACCTGCCAGCTTCCTTGCCACCTGACTTCTTATATCTTTAAAACATTATTTGTTTTCAAGAACATGACTAGATCTCAAACAGCTCTCATTAATTGTCTTAGAAAATAAATAGGATGGATTATCTTTGCCCAGTGCTATGGAACATGGCTGTGCAAACCGTTTGAAGAGAACTTCACAATGTGTCCTTTTGAATCCGTTACGGAGAAGGCTGGGATGTGCACACCAGCTGCTTTGAGATCCTTTTGCAGATTTCTCAGCATGCATATGCATTCAGAGAAGACCCTTGCCATTATCCTTTGGTGGCACTACAGATGCATCTTCTATGCACCTAGGTCAGGGGTAGGCAACCCAAAACACTCAAAGAGCCACTTGGACCCGTTTCCCACCAAAAACAAAACACTGGGAGCCGCAAAACCCTTTTGATATCTAAAATGAAGATAACACTGCATATATCCTTTTTTACCTTTATTATAGGTGTGTGTATGTGTGTGTGTGTGTGTATATATATATATATATATATATATATATATATATATATACACATACATACATATATACATACATACATACACACACACAGACACACACAGACATATACACATTAAAAATAAAAGTAAAAATATGACTCTTGGGAATATCCATACTATTAAAACAATGATCACCAAGAGAATGCTTTAAGAGAATAAAATTACATACACACACAGATAAAAAAAGGATATATGCAGTGTTATCTTCATTTTAGATGTCAAAAGGGTCTCTCTCTCCCTCCCTCTCTATCTGCCCTTAGTCTGCCACTCCTCTTCCCCCACTCTCTTCCTTTCTCTCTCTCTCTCCCTCTCTCTCTCTTTTTCTCTCTCTCTTTCTCCCCCCCCCATCTGCTGCTCACCTGGCAAGCTTCAAGCTGTTGTCCAACAACCTCCGGGGTAGGCAACCTCGTCTCTTTTATGACTCATGGACTTCAACTCCCAGAATTCCTGAGTCAGCCTAGCTGGGCTAGCTAGCTCTCTCCTGCCCTTCCTGCTTCCTGCTTCCTTCAGAGACGCAGGAAAGGGAGGAGCTCCGCCCAGAAAGCTTTTCAGCTCCTCGGAGAACACTGTGAGTGCACTCTCTTTTACACATACACACACACACAAAACACACACACACACACACACCCAGACACACACACACACACACACACAGAAGCAGGGAAGTGCAATTGCCTCTCTCTGTCTCTCTCTGCAAAGGCAGAGGAGGCTGGGAGCCACAGGGGAAGGCTCAAAGAGCCGCATGCGACTCCGGAGCCGCAGGTTGCCGACCTGTGACCTAGGTAGTCCTCCCTTAATGATTGCTCACTTTAGTGACCAATAGCAATTACAGTGTCATTGAAAGAGCCAGTCCTCACACTTACAGCTGTTGCAGAATCCTGCAAATATACAATTGTCATTTGTGAGCTTCATGGCAGGCTTCCGAAAAGCAGAATCAACAGTAAAGTTGCAAGATAGGTCACACGATGTTCCGCTTACAGACCGCAGGTGATTCCCTTAATGACCGGGGCAGAAGTGAGAATGTTGTGTGATGTAATGACTATGTCACTTAGTGATGGAATTGCCAGGCTAAACTGTGGTCATTAAGCACCCAGAGTCACTGGTTTGAGATGGGCAGCTGTATAAATTGAATAAATAAACAAACAAACCGAGAACTATCTGTATGCGCACAGAAAATCAGGAAAGGCTCTTGAGGTAGCCTAGTGAATTCTGCAAAAGACGTAGCTGCCTCAAGCAGCAGATTCACAGAGATCTTTGCTCGTTTTATGAGGCTAACATTCTAAAAACCTAATGTACGATACTGGACAGCCACCATTTTATTAATGGGAAAACCTTTCAAACAGCTATATTATAAGAACGTCTGTAACACAGTCATAAAATTCTATATATGCCCATTTTCCGAAAAAGATTGGGGACCTCTGGTTTAAAGGAGTGTACAACTGGAAAGGCAGCAACAGCACTAAGGCAGAAATAAGAGAGGAAAAACTGCTGCTCTTTTGGAGTTGGGACCAAGACCGATTGTACAAGGCGGTTAGAAGGTCATTAATATAAATGTTGTGAAGTCTAGAGAAATTATTTGATAAATGATTCTTTTCTTTAACAAATAGTTAGGACTGCAGAAAAAACGATCGCGACCAGCCTGCCTTCCACTGAGGATCTGTACACTGCATGAACCAGAAAGAGGGCTGAGAAAATTTCTACAGACCCCTCACATCTTGGACATAATCTATTTCAATGTTTCCCCTCAGGATGCCATTATAGAGCATTGCAAGCCAAAACAACCGAACATATAGGTTTTCCCATGCCTTCACTCTGCTGAACACTTAATTCCCACAGCACTGTCTCATTTCTCATCTTTTCTCATTTTCTCATCTTTCCTACTATCTTCTCCTATTGGTTTTTTATGATTTATCAATTTTGTTTGTAACTTATGATTAATGATTGCAATGATGATTATGACCTATGACCAGTGGTGGGATTCAGATACCTGAATATCCGGTTCTCTGCGTGGATGCAGGCCTGGGCCTCCGAGGCCTAGAGCGGACTTCCGAAAGTAACATCAACGCATTTCCATCGGGCCGTTCTAGGCCTGGGAAACCTCCTCCAGGCTTCCCAGACCTAGAAGGATTTCCAGAAGCAGCATGGGTTCAGCCGGTTCTCCAAACTCAACAAAATTTAGCTACGGTTCTACCGAACCGGTGTGAACCAGCTGAATCCCACCACTGCCTATGACCTATTACTTGCTGTTTATATGTACACTGTGAGAATATGCACTGGAGACAAATTCCTTGTGTGTCTGATCACACTAAACCAATAAAGAATATCACACTTGGCCAATATGCTATTCTATGCTATGCTATGCTATTCTATTCTTTCTGAAAATTCAGATCCTGAACTGAATTACTTTAAAGACATTTTAAAAAGACTAAATAAGTTCTTCTGACTATAGCTATCTACAAAGAATCATAACTCAAAAAGAAACATGTTACTTACAATCAACTGCTTTAAGCCCTGAAAAGACAGCTCCACAGAGTTGGCATTGAGAACTTGTCTTTTCACTGCAGCCTGTTCACCAAGGAAGCGGAGCATTAAATCTTTAACTGCATCACCCTAATGGGAAAAAAGGACATAATATCTAGCACCGTCTCAGTAAAGGTGTTTTGTAAGTTTGGCCATGTAATCTATTTATATAATTTCTGTGAAAGGAAACTTTTACAGATCATTACATTGAAAATTAAAAAACATTCTTTTACAGGAGGATACTTATCACCTTCATGTTCTCCAACATAGCTTCTTACCTCACAGTGGGTTTAGATTCTCTATACTAAGTCCTTTAGATTTCTTCAGTTAATATTCTCTGGAGTGGATTTAGCGGATTTCACTAAAAGATACTGAAAAGAAACAGTAGAAGTCTAGAACACTACAAGTCTGCTCAAACCTTATTTTGTAGCTAATAATAGTTACAGGGACCAAAGTGGCCAAAATAACAGTAGCCAATCTACCTTCTGGAGAATGAGGTTTTCTTCATTCCATAAGGAGACAAAGGCATGAGTCCTGACTGAAGACCTCATCTGTCTTTCTAGTTTGATCTCAGCAGGTTCTTACCTGCCTTTTCTGAGGGCCAAAATAAAAAGACTAATTACATAGTTCTGCTCCTGAGTGTGAGGTCTCTCTTCTCCACAGGATGCCAATCTATATCAGAGCATACTGTGAGGGGAAGGAACATTAATCATTTGGCCCTGCTGGGTTTTCAATCCAGATTTGGCCTCTGTGGTTTTCACTGCAAAAAAAAAAAAGGTTCCTTGAAATAAAAAGAAACTACATTTTAGGCATTGACCCTGCAATCTAAAATGGAACCACAGCAAGGGGGGATAGGATTAACTCCATCCTAGAAACCTAATCTTTATTCAATCCTTCACAGTGGCCATCTGTGAAGGAGGACTGTACAGACACTAGATCATTCCTAGGAAGTCTGGAAATAAAATTTTTGTCACTCAGGTTGTTCACAGAAACTTTCTCAGTGCGCTTCCTGATGAGCTAGGCTAAGGATGCTTAAATTGATTTTTCTGGCCTTTCAGTATTGTTATCGGCCCACTTGTGTTACACTATGATAATATCCCAACCTCACCCCAGAGTTTGAGGGTATGCATTAAGGGGCTTGAAAATGACGTAATCCTTCCAAGTGGCTGCCAAGTATCTGATGGCAGATGCAGTAATGGCTGGATAGGGTTGTGTGTTGTTAGGTGAGTAGGGATTTGCTGGCGTGCAGGTACAGTACATTGAGGGAGGATGGACACTTTGGTGAGAGGCAAGAGGTGGGGGGATATGGGAGGGATGATGGGGAAGCAGAAACATAGAAACCATGATTGGTATGAGGTGATATGGTGGATTCAGGAGAATGGGCTGTACTCGGAGGTATCATATTGGCTAGCTGAGAATTTCTGACCCAATCCCTGGAGGTTGTGCAGATGGGGAGGAACAGGCTCTGACTCCCCTGGATGGGGAGGAAGAGGCTCTGCCTCAATCTTGAGAAGACAAAGTAGCTTCATTTTTGGGGGGCCTCCTAGTTCCAGAGACATTCCATCTTTACTTTTTAATGGAGTTGCACTTCCAAGTGAGACTAGCATGCAATTTAGGATTTCTTTTGGACTCACAGCTCCTGCTCAAAAAGGAGGTGGCAGCTATGGCCCTTTGTAGTTACATCTCAGTACATCAATTCGTTTGTCCCTGGATTGGAGGAGTTTCAGACATTTACTCATGCCTGGGTCAACTCATGATTGACTGTCAGCCCTCCTAGATAAACCAGGCAGGAAACGTAACTAGATAAACTAATTCTACATTGTTGCAAGGCTACATTAACAGAATCTTGCAAGTTTGAAAATACAAACTTCCTGCCGACCACTTTTAACTGCCTGATACATTAGGGTGGGTCCTTCCTAAGTTTCTTTCTCTGACTGTTAAGCCATTGGGAGACTGCCACCTTTTTTGTTTGATCGTTCCCCAAGATCATCCAAATTTTTAAAATTCTGCTTTATTATAAGCTGCCCAGAGTGGTCATGGAGTCAGGTGGACTCAAAATCGGAATATTAAATTACTTTTTTGTGAGCTGTGTTACCAGCAGGCATGGCAAAGCAGCTGATTTATTTTATGCAGAATATTGTGCGTTCAACCCTTATACTGCCAACTTAAGCATTTACAATTACAAGCATTATTTGTTTATAATTTGTTTCTAACACGACCATTGTTTCTTTGTTCTAAACCTATCTAAACTATTTTCCTGAATTTGGTGCATGTTATTACTATCATAGTAAATTTCATAATATTATGTCCTAAAGCAAAATAAGAACTCCTTCAAAAAAGAAAACATATTTTAAGTAAAGATAGCTCAAAAGCTCTTGCGCTGGTTTCTAAAAACCTTAGGATGCTTCATCTCCTTATATTTAGTGTTTCTGCAAATTTTACCCCACTTTGATGAAAAACAAAAATACTGTACAATTTTTATTTGTATATTGTTTGACAAACTTGCTCCTTTATTGATCTACACACAATTACTTGCCAAGCAACCCAGACTGAAGATCCAAATTAGATGGGCTTGACAGACCTGTGATTGCTATCTACCTTTAACATTATTTTTAATGAGAAGGTGGAACATAAGTGACATGTAAAAGCAGACACCAAATGCTCTGTGTCTGAATTCATTAGATAAGATTTGAAGTGATTAAAAGCAACAGGGGATTCTCACCTGAATATTGTCAAATTTTAATCCCGGCATGGTCACATTCTCCTTGTCCATGAAAATATTATTATATGGCTGGGTGGTTACTAAAATCAACACACTCCTAGTTGCATCACTAGGAAGCCAGGCATCATTTCTTCTGTCCATCTCACTCATGTTCAGCACAGAGGCAAAAGGGTCATCACCACCTTGAAAAACAGCTTGAATCTGGGAAAATGGCTTTGGAGACTGACATATTTCTGGAGAAGATGCAGATTTCCCAGGTTCTGATCTTCCATTTTTAAGAGAATATTTATGGTTAGCGGAGTCATGCAATTCCCCAACTGTTACAAGAGAAGACATTTGCTCTGGTACAGATGTGCTTGCATTGGGGTTACTGACCGAAATAAAAGATGATGTAGTAAAGGAATCAAAAAAATCAGAAGCTAATGTATTAGTACTGATGGCTTCCCCAAAAAAATTGCTTAGGCTTGGACTAGGCTGAACCACTTGTGGATGAATTTTCACTGGAGTCTCACTTACAGCACCAAGGCTGGGTGACTTCACCATTTGAGGCTCAAAGCCATCATGCAGAAACTGTTGCTGACCAGTTGTATGATTTCCCTGGCTAAAGATGGTACAGATAGGAATAGGTTCTGAATCAATTGGTGATTTAATGACAACTGGAGGAGATGCACTTTCCTCTGGTTTGCTTTCATCAACAATGTTTGATGGAGACTTTAGAGGTTTGTCACATTCTGCTTCCAGTTCATTTTTTGCTGATATCTGAATCAGATTTTCATTTAAAGAGGACTGATAGTCAATTCTCGAATCAGAAATACTTTTGGCAGTAGCTTCAAGTTTTGTTTCATTCTCATTTTTAATTACTTCATTTCTCTCTAAACGCTCCTCTCCTCCCATTGCTTCAATATTGTTTGCTTCCATTTGTTTGACTATTTCTTGCAGGCAGCCAAGATCACCAGTATCATCTTCACTATTATTTGGAGAATCAGATATCACAACGCTTTCCATCATGTGCTCGCTAAGTTTGTCTATGAAGTTACTGGAATCTTCTGCCATGTTTTCATTTTCTTCAGATGCAGATTCATCTCCTCCCAGATCAATGGTTTCTTCGTGGAACAGAAGTTCTTCAGAAGCCTGCTGCTGGATATCACAAATGTCAGCCACTGCATTTGAATTTCTTAATCCAGTGTCTTCAATATTGCTTTCTTGTTTTTCCATAGTTTTTCTACATAAAAAGAAATTGCTACTGATCAGTACTACATATAGGACAATTTATGCATAAAGCAACAATATATACAGCCACTGCAATAATTAAAAACACACTTCAAAATATGAAACACTTTATTAATATCTTGCTAACCCCTCCCCACCACTTCCTTTTTTCTTAGCATGAAAATAATGATTCCCATGGTTGAAATAGTGGATATCTTAATACTGTACTCCTGCCAGGGGCAAAATATAGGATAGATCCAGCTGGGCCCTTTGGTCTTCTTGACCACTCATTTTTCCACTTTGGGAAAGTACTGTGCTGCAAGGTCTTTGACTTATCTATACACTATATTCTACTTGGTTGGCTTGCAATCTCATAAATTCATACTTGGACAACACAATCTCTACCTCCAATGCAGAGACTGACCATCTTTCCTGCAAGAACAGCTGATTGAAATGTTCTCTAGTGGAATTCCCATCTATCTCTGTATTTAGAAAAAGGGGAAGGGAGATTGACAGTGCCCAAATTCAGATGGAGACCGACAAAATAGCATTACTACAACCCTGGGTAAGGAAGAATAGAAGAAGAAATGACAACTTTAAGTAGACAAGAAGGGAATTCCTACATGAGAAGGCTTGGATAGCAAACACTAAATTGAACAGAGTTAAGAAGCAAATCTTGGTAGACTAAACCTCCTGTCCCTTAGGCAGCTTATTAGGACTTCAATTATTTATTTGTTGCCCTCTTCCCAACTCCTCTGTAACTTCAGTAGGTGAAACAACAATCAGATAAGGAAAAATAAAAAGCCATTCACTTTTATAACCTGGAATATAAATGTAATAAATTCAGGCAGGATAAAAAATTTAAATGACAACAATTCTGATTAATAGCTGAAATTTAAGATGGACCATATTAAAAACAGACATTGTGTGTCTATCCATCATACTATTCCATTTCAGAGTAAGCAATGTTATACAGTGTACAGAAAAGGAGTAAGAACAATAGGGAAAAGAAATTAAATGCAATAGATAGATTAGATAGATAGATAGATAGATAGATAGAGAGAGAGAGAGAGAGAGAGAGAGACAGACAGACAGACAGACAGATACATACACATATATAGACAGATAGATAAAAACAAATCTAATTTACAACAACCTCATTCCCTATTTTTTGAAGTTTTTATATGCTATAGTTGTCGGCAAAAATGCCCTTGGATATTTACCTTTGTCAGCCATTATGGCTTTGATAAACCAAGATGTTCATATTATGGTTTTTAATAACACAAGGCGTAAACTGCGTTAGCAGATCTAGTCATACCACCTGTAGGATTTCCTACTAATTATGAGAAAAGTGCCAACCAACATTTTCACAGTGCATCATATACAAAATGGTTATCACAAGATGATCTATGTTGACTTTTGTTACTCTTTGCATAAAAAAAAGGAAAGTCAACTGAGGCCATTGCATAAATTTTATTAAAACAGAAATGGTTAACTTTACTGAGCCACATCAACACCCTTCGTTTTACCTGTGTCACATTCAGTATTCTCTGCTATTTGACATATTGGTCCAGGTTATCTAAAGAGCTGCCTCACCCCAGTGGGATTGACCTACTCCACCCATGCCAGCAGAAAGGGCACGCTGTGGACTCCATTGGTCAAAGAATTCCAGCTGGCAGGATCCAAATAAAGAGCCTTTTCTCCCACCCTCTGGAACATTGTAGCCACCAAGTTGAGATCCACATCCACCCTTTTGGTCTTCTGAAAGAGCTTGAAAACTTGGCTCTGCCAGTGCCTTGAGGCCCCAATGGAGTGTGTGTTGTACTGGAGGTGGTTAATGGATTGAGATAAGATTCCAATTCTACCCCATTTGCATCTTGCTCCCTTCCTTGCCTGCTTTGTTCATTTTAAGTAAATTTTAACATTAATATTTATTATTTTAATATTTCATGTTTTATCTTGTTTTACTTGTAAACCATCTAATGTCATTTGTTGGTGAGATGGAGGGGCATATATACTTAATAAAAATAAAATTTTGATAAGTTTGCCACAAACACAACTGAAACCTAGTACTACCTCAAGCATATTTATGTTTTTCAATGTCAATTAGAAGCTCCGGTTAAAAGACTATCTTGCAAGCCAACATCACTAACTATCATATACATGCAGTGTACTCACATACATGTTAAAGGCAGCTATCAAAATGCATGCAGAAACAATTAATACATTTTTAACAAGGTATGTCTTTATGATGAAATCAGAAAGTGCTTCTGCGGACTACCAGAAAACGAAATTAGGAACCCCCCTTATATCTGATCTTTGCCCAATTTTCATTTTTTAAAGAATAGATTTACAAATTAAACATACCTTTTATGTTTGCTCTGGCAAAGTGTCAGTATCCTCAGGCATACCACTTTAATTCTGTCTCAGGGACCCATCTGTAAAATGGAGCATTTTTCCTCAAGGCTACTTCTGTAATTATCAAAAGGCAAAGAAATCAAATGAGGGCCTGAGTCATGAAGATATTGTCTATTGTCTATAAAACTGTTTTATAGATAATGTGAACACAATTAGCATTAAGACACATTCATTGAATTGCAGTAGTCCTACACAGTTTTGAACCTACTTCCTTCGAGATGAAGTGATTAATTCTCTCAGCTGTAGGCCCTTTGCATTTTTCATGACCGAGTTGCTACCTTGTAACTTAAAAACACCACCATCAACCACCACAACTGGTTTTTCACTCATATGGATTTTATTTATCGGTTTATTCTGTGTTTGCACAAGCAGCTTCATTCAAACCTAACAGTGACCCAGGTTCCACTTGAAGAGTGGAATGGGTAACCCATCTCATCCGCTGTTGGTAAATATCTTTATTATATAAGCCACCTTAAACGAACAAAAGAATAGGAAAGAAAAGCAATCGAGGAGGATATTCCCTCACCTATCCCGCTCTTTACTTCCAATGATAGCGGCAACGACGTCCCATCTAAACTACAGCAGAAACACCAAATGTGTAAAGGAAAAAAAAAGCCTAGTGCGCCTGCGCGTCCAACTTCCCTTCCCTATCGATCCAATTTCGCCTCCCCTACGTAGACGAGCGTCTTCGGCGCTCCACTCCTTTCCCCGGAAGTGAAAAAAGTACGGAGGCCGAAGTGGGCCCAAGGTGTTTTTTTTTGTAGGTTCGCCTTCTTTCTAATTCGAAAGAGGGGGGAAAAAAGAGCCGAAACGCAGCCGCGGGTTTTCCCATCGCGATAGTATTTGTGCCGGGGCGGTGGGTGGTGGAGGAAGGTAGCGGTAGCTGACGCTGCCATGGAAGATGATGCTCCCGTGATTTATGGGCTGGAATTCCAGGTAAATAAGAAAATGATGGATTGGGATTTAATAGAAGAAGAAGCTTTTCATCAGACCAGAATTTATATTTTTTCTAGATTTTTGTGGGGGAGGGTGTTCCCCCTGCAGTTATTTAGGAATTGGACTAAGGAATGGGCATGCACTTTAAATTATGGATCCCTTTAGGATGGCTTCGGTGCAAGCCTCTTTCAACGCAACCAATTTTACAGAGCTGCTGTTCTGGGAGAAATTAGTGCAAGGAATGTTTTGCAAGTTGCCTTAATTTCCTAAAAGAAAAGTGGCTGATAAATATAACCAATAAATAAATAAATATGTGGCTGATAAATATGACCAATTTATCAGCTGTAAATGTAATGAAATCTATGGATTCATTAATGTGCTAAAGCGGTGAAACATTTTATTAAAGAATATATATCCGATATATCTCTCTATGTAGAGGTATTCCAAATGAAAAAAACTGTATTATAAATCAAAAGTGCCCTTTGTGCCTTGTTAATTTTAAACAAGTCTTGTTATTCATGAATAATGTAACTTTTCATGAAGTTGGGATAGATTTCTGTAGACTTTTCTGCAGCTTTCTCTAACAAGGCCTGTGAAACACTTTTTTTTAGTGTTTTGCACTTTTGGAATAATTAGTGTGTATTATTGAGTCATGATTTATGATTTAGATTTTGAGATAGTCTGGAAAGGTTAGCTGAAATATTTCTTTCTGAAAATGATAAAACCACCAAAAATAGTCCACTATAAAATAACCAAAAATAATTCTGAAAATTATCTAGAGAAGATAGATGCCTGAGAAAACAAGATCATTTTTAGCTGCATAAAATTGTACAATGAAATAAGCCTTCTGATAACTAATTGCCACCAAAGACAACTAACCCCATACTTTATGTTTAAATATACATGAAAGAAAGCAGTCTTTGCCATTTAATTATTTGTATGCCAAAGGATTCACATTCTTTAAAATTCAACCCTTGTATTATTCCAACAGGAATAATATTTCATGCTTCTGTTAATACAGCGGTTCTCAACCTTTGTGTGACGGCGCCCCCTGAGGGGGAAAAATGGCGGATCGCGTTGTTCGGCGACCCCTGTAAAATGGTCGTTCGACCCCAAATGGGGTCGCGACCCATAGGTTGAGAACCGCTGTGTTAATAGAATCTTTTGATTTACAGTAACATCTTGATTTAGTGGACTGCCATTTAGAGGACCCTAACTCACAGTTCAACCCTGATCTACAAATATTTTCTTCTACCTTGGACCTTGTACATGATGTATAAAATTTCCATTGAGCTATCCCATCAAAGTCCCAAGATGCAAGACTGTTGCATCTGAAATAGTGGAGACTAGGCCCTTTTAACCGTGCCTTAATTGACATTAAACTGATATCAATCAGCTCCCGTATGGAATACCAAAGATTACATAAGACAGTTCTAAAATATTGTAAAAAAGTGTCTGTCGGCAAGCTGTTCATTTGTGAGATCTGCACCAGAACTTCACCTTTTATTGTTGGCTTTCACTTCAGCTTCTTAAAATAAAGTGAAAATAAATATGAGAGTTATTTTCAGGATCCTTGATAAGAAGAGATAGTTAGATCTTCAGAGTAAGGAACTGTATGGCTTTATGCACCTGATTTCCTTTAATGATTTGTCCATAGGAAGAACTGGGTAAACAGTTCTATTTTAGTACTTAAAAGTTTTTCACACTTCATTACCATGAAAAAATATTTGTACCATATAGATTGCCCTGAATTGTGGCTAGGACTACCTTGGACAGACCTTTGGTTCCATTGAGATTAAACCTGTTATAGAATTGAGTATATTTCTGTCCTAGCTAAAAGTACAGTTCTTAACTTATAATAGCAATTGGGACTGGAATTTCTGTTGTTAAGTGATCTTGTTGTAAAATGAGGGTGTATGAGAAGCACTAGTTGGCAAGGAATTCCAAAGACTGGTCATAACCACCATTCAATGCCATCATAACTTCAAATGGTTGCTGGATGAATGGCTCAGGACAGCCTATATAATGTAGGTCTGTAGTCCTAAAGCAGGGGTAGGCAACCATGGCTCTTTTATGCTGGCTCAGGAATTCTGGGATTTGAAGTCCACGAGTCATAAAAGAGCCAAGGTTGCCTACCCCTGTCCTAAAGTATCAAGCCCTGCAACTCAAAGTTACCTGCTAAGGCTGAACAAACCATTCTGAAGAAGTGATTCTTTGAGCCTACTACTATATTTGGATCTCTCAGGCAGTCATCTCTCTTGAAGGTTTGGCCCAGCCAGTTCCGTGGCCTTTTCCTGGTCTTCTAGGTGTGTATATGCATACCCAGAAGATGTTTATGCCAAGATTGCCCTTAAAGCAAAGCAGTCCTGAACATCTTCCTAAAAGAACTCATAATTGTTTCCACTTTGCTAATTTGTAAGCATACGGCTATAAAAATGCCTCCAGTTTTATCGGTCTTTGTAAGAATTCTGTGGCTACATTCCAAAGCTGCCTTCTGTGAAAGAAGTCCCACTGAAATAAATTGCCACATCTTTTGAGTAAATACAATTAAAGTTGGATTTTTATTTAGAAATCAGTAATGTCTGTATCTCTCTATCTTTGGTTTAAAGAAATAGGCTGACTTACAAGTTATAAGGAAACAAGAATAACTTCTTTATCTAAGTTTTAAATCTTTTCAGCATTGAACAGCTGTATTAATTACTTTGTTCCAAATTATAGTCATCCCTAACATTTAAATTAGCAACCACAACTATTCAGGAACTAGTTTAGGTGTCTTACTATAACTCTTAGATCTATCCTCTTTGTTTTAAACAAAATACTTTATACTTGTAGCAGTAAGCTAGTGATTCAAAGGTGCATTTATATTGTAGTTCATGGTGAATGGTTTATAAATACTGCAGGTAAAGCAATTGAACTGTCTTGAAAATGTTGGATGGATTTTATTTTTCCAGGCATACATTTTACTAGCTATATAAATTTCAATGGGAGTAAGATTAATTTGGATTGAATCCAATTCTGTATGTTCTTTAATAAAACTTAAGGGTTTGTTGGTTTTTTTAAAAAAAATACATCTGATTGTTTTTCTTGGTCAAAAAGGTAAATAAAGATAGTGAATTTTCACTAACATTAAATCTCCTTCTTAAATTGCTGTTTCTGCAAAATAATTAATTTTGAACATTTGGGTTGCTGCTCTCACTTTTGTGCACATTTTCCACAAATGAGAGAATGCATGCTGAAAACGCCTTTTTTACTTTTTAGCCATGAGATCACAGTTTTGTGCCAAAAGGTAGAAATTGTATTTCGAAAAATACAGATGTATGAATATATTTTAAAGAGTGTCATAATGAATGATATCATGTACTTTTCAAGACACCGGAATATGCTAGATGTGACTCCATTTGTATTTTTCACAATTTTTTAGGCACGAGCCCTGACTCCACAAACTGCAGAAACAGAGGCAATACGATTTCTTGTTGGAACTCAGTCTCTTAAATATGATAACCAGGTAAACTTTTATGAATGTGGCACGAATGTAGAAAGAGAATTGCTTTGAAAACCTTTTAATTGAATAATATTTTTTTTCTGCCAAATTTTAAACAGAACTTTTGTTTATAAAATTAAATGTCATGTGATTTGGGAGACTAAAAAGCCCTGTTTGTGGTACTACCGTTAGTCCTCCATTTACAATGGTTCATTTAATAACCGTTCAAAATTACAACGGCACTGAAACAAGTGACTTTATGACCATTTTTCACACTTACGACTATTGAAGCATCCCCGTGGTCACGTGATTTACATTCGGATGCTTGACAACTGACTCACCTTTATGACAGCTCGTAAAAATGGGGCAAACTTAACAAATTTCTCACTTAACATGCATTTTGGCCTCAATTGTGGTAAGTCGAGGACTACCTGTAGTTAAGACTTGACTTAGAATGAGATTTGCAACTGAGGTTTATCTACATCAGTGGTTCCCAAGCTTTTCTATACCCCTCACCCCTAGAACGCTTCGGATATACTCTCGCGCCCCTTACAAAAGTTCAAAATAATGACAATGAATTATGTATATACACTATAATTTTGAAAACCCAAGTTTTTGCACTCCCTGGAATATTGTCTCGCACCCCCAGGGGGTGCCGGCACCCCTGGTTGGGAACCCCTGATTTCCATGATTAACATGATTAAGTGTAGCAAAAATTAGAAACTTTGAGAGAGACATTCAAGGACAAAATGGAAATTTAGTAGATAGTGGGAAGTGTAATGTTAGAAAATAACTTGGAAGAAGAGTCATTTTAACTTGAATGAACAGGGATGCATCATAGGAAAACCACGCTCACCCCATTGCTGGCAATGGCAAAAAAGTCGCGAGATGTCGCGATACGTCATGACATTGCGAGTTTGACACCCTTACTTTAGAAAGTAGCATCTTTTTTTCAAGGTCTGCCAGAAGTTGAAAAAGTCAGCTACTTTTATCAGCAGAGATATGCGGTCTCATGTAATATCTAAAACACTTTTCCTGAACTGTTTTCAAAGGGTTCCCAGTCTTCACGGCATTATCTTCAAGAGATGTATAGTATGTCTCATGTTAAAATAGACACAAAACGAAAAAACAAAATAGTTCGTGGGTAGAGTTGCTTAAGAATTATTTCATGGCATGAAGACATTTTCTTGATTGCAAACATAATTAATAAATATATCAACTTGCTGTCCATAC